ACTGAAACCTCATGCTGGCAGCGAAGGAACAACTGGTTTCTGATCACGATTCGTAGATAAAGAAGTTGATCTCAATGAAATCTCACAAGCGATGGTGGAGACGTCTGAGGTATGACGCCTATGGAGAAGTGGGTCTAAAGCAACCTGGCAGAGAATCCCCCTCCTGGCAAGCATCATCCTCCGGTGCCGGTGCACCATGGTGAGCTCCCCAAAAGAGAAACGCTGAGCCATGGAGGCTCAGAATCCACTCAGAAGGACCCGACCCCTAGGTCTTGGCGGTGGTTGGTTTTCTTAATATCCTGGTGATCCGCTTGGGCAAACCTGCCTTTGCAGTCCTCAAAGGATTTGGAGAGATCCCGAGCGTTTTGTTTCACTCCACTAAACTCCCAACTTTCTGCTGATGTCGCCGGGCCATGTGTCCGTTGAAAAGGACACTCATGCAGGCCACAGTCCTGTGACACCTGAGAAGCTGGCTATGACGTGATCTTCAAGACCTTGCCAGACATGTGTGCAATTGATAGCTCCAACAACTCAGCGATGTCTCTTCAACATGTATGCTAGGTGGCTTTAGCATGCTTTAGCTACCTTAGCACCTTACCCTAGCACAGCTGTTCAAAGCAGGTGTCCATTCCTTCCAAGGTCATGGTTTTTTAGCGAATTCAGATGTGCAGATGTGCCGCTGGTGCTGCACATCCTCCGATCTGACGTTCCGTCGATGTCACGCTGTCGGTCGACGTTCTCGGTGACGTTCCATCGATGGATTTCGCTGCGCCGGTCCGAGCGAACACGAGGCATCCACCTCTGGGCTCGGACTTCGATCCATATCAGCCGCCCAACTGAACCGGCACTGCGTACGTCGAGGGGAGGAGAGCACATGAATCGCTGCACGATGGGCTCGGAGGGGTCGGTGTTCTGGGCGCCCTGAAATGGGCGCCCAAGTGGCACCCCCGTTCTGTCTCAAGGGCGACTGAGACTTGTGAATGGAGTTGTGAGGGACCCAAAGATTCAGTTAGTGACAGTTAGTGATGTAGGCAGTGGGAATCGGTAGGGTTCATCCTGAAAGATGTTCTATCTCGCGGTGGTTGGAGGTTTTTGATCTTGTCCAGTGGAGTTGAATCATGGAAAATGCTCGAAATTCATGGAGTCATTGTTGTTGCAGTCATAGAGACACGAGTGTGTTTTTGAAACTGGGATCCCGAACTTCCAAATAAAAAGGTGAATAGCGACATGTTTAAAATGGTGTTACGTGTTTTTGCATGTTTAATCCTTTTCCCGAGATCGACATGTCGAAGCATCTTGGATCCTTTGAAAACGAAGCGATTCTTTGTGTCGACCAGCTCGACGAGGTGTCACATGAGATGTCCGCCCCCTCTCGGGTCAGATTCGCCACGGATGTCTGACATGTGCCCAATGATAGATCTTCTTGAACTGAGGGATGGTCTTTTTACGACTTAGTGGGTGGATATTAGATACTGTAAAGTCCGTGCTACACTTTTCCACTTGGAGATACAGCACCCTGTAAAGTGACATATACTGTAGAAGTTTCAGCATAATCAAGCATAGGGTCAATAATGGTCAATAGATGTCAATAGTTTCTGTGTGTTTTTCAAAAATAAGCTGATCCGTGTGATGGATGTCTTCCCATCCTTTAGTCCAACAACCCTTCCTTTGAACATTCTGGGCAGAACCTCCACGCCGCGGACCGGGGGACCTGCGATCGGGTCCCATTTCGAGGTATGTCGGCGATCCCTTTGAGCTCTTCAACAGCTTCTTCTCCTCCGCCGATCCCCTCAGTGTCGCGTGCGCCGCTGTGCCGCTGTCGGGTGAGGGAGGGAAGGAGGGGTGAGCAGAGATTTGCTTCGTTTCCCGAGGGAAGGAGGAGGGAAGGAGGAAAGGAGGGAAGAGAACACGTCAACTCAAGTGCTTGAGTTGCGCCGTGGACATCTACAGGGAGTACGTCTTGTGCAGTGGGCCCAGGTCGTTGATCCAGAAATCCGACTAACCCGATCTTCTGTGATCCAGAGGTGGTTTAGCAGTTGCAGGATCATTGCCAAACATCGTTGAGCAGAGCAGACCATAAGTGCTAGGACCAGGACCGTCATTTGACGATGGCGCTTGGGTTCCAGAAAGCAGCCCTGACCGCCACATCAGTGGATTCCAACAACGTACAAGAGCGGGCCATCCCCCAATGACCCTCGATTGCGGAACAGCAAACATCGCTAAAACCTGTGGAAGTGTCAGTCCTCACCCAACCGTGTGCCTTGGAAAACATCCTGCAGCTATCAAAAGGGTCAAAGCAGGATCCAAGGTGACGATGCAGGGTTCAGATTCTAGAGGGTCCCGCAACCAGAAACCTCAGAATACCTTAGAAATCCTGCTGGATGGTCCAAAAAAATATTGGACTTCACTCTGGACACTCTCGCTCCATTTGTCGTTCGCTTCACTCTCGCTCCATTCGCGACGCGATTCCTCCAGGTATGAGCCAGAGCTCGAAAGCTTGCCAGTGATCCCCGCATCCGAGAAGGACGGACACGCGGTTCGGGTCGCGCGTCAGAAGGTGCCCTGTCGGTGTCCTCCAAACAGGGAGCGAAAGGTAAAAAGTAGGCCAACCGGCCAAGTATTGGCTGCATCGGTTTGTTGAACAAGTTGTGATACGCTTGATGAGCAACCTCCTGAGGGATTTGGTAAACACATGCATGCTGCATACGCCTTAACATGCCCTCATCCACCACAAAAATGCATATTGTATATACATGTAAATACCCATGAAAAAGATCCACATGTCAGTCCACAGACTTGGCTTGCTGGGTTGAAGACGCGGTCAACCTCGGGTGAAGGATCATCAACCTCCCATGCTCCCTTCATGCCACAGGAGCCAGTGATTGAACTGGAGGCCGAGCAGACACGGTGGAAGCTCAAAATCACTCGTTTGGAAGCTCGTATGGCTGTGGGACACTGTGTGTCTCTCAGAAAGACTACTGTATATAGACATCTTTGATACATTGGTACCTTAATTTGCATGCTGTGGGCAAAAACTATCGTGGAATTCAATGATGTGCAGCGTTTCCTTCGTTTCTTTGCCTCAAAGGTGATACTCGGAAAGAAAAGCAGCCGACTTTCGGAGCAACCGACCTTCGGAGCTTCCAAGTCTGTGCCAGATCGAGTGCTCTGTTGATGAGCTGAAAGACGGCAACACTAGGCAGGCTGAGACTTACTTGAGTCGGAACTCTGCTCGATGTCCCAAAAATCGGCCAACATCTCCGTTGTGTTTCATTTGCAGTTCTGCTCGGTTCAGCCTGGTAGGGTGTTTCTTCTCCATCAAAAACCTACTTTGCTCTCCATCTGAGGCACTTGCAGGTAGGGTTTGTTCTTCCCCATGTGCATGGGTTGGAAAACCGGTGTTCTTTTCGAGTTTGGATGGCCAAAGGGATCGCTCCGACATCCGGAGACCACATGTGCCCCAAATGCTTTCCGCCCACATGCGCAGGTGTGTGGTGGTGGAGCGCACTCGGCTTGGGCCCGGCTTTGTGCCGTACAAGGTGGGACGCTACGCCACCGGGTGCTGCCGCCGCCGTGCTGACTGCGGGCTTCGATGTGACGAGTGTTGTATACAGGTTGTTGTTGGATGTATTTGGGATTTGTGCCATATTTGTTGTCTTGTTGTGTTTGACTGCCCAGTCGAAACCTCAAGCTCACCTTTAAAATGAGTCAGTGAACACGTGTGACCAAAGAAATCTTGGGCAGATGGATGCCAGGAGAAGAAACCGGTGACGCTCCCCATCAGACCTGGCTGGCAGGCCGGAATGAGGCGGGATCCCCCGACGCGCGTGTCGCGCCCGTCTCGCTCGGGAAAGACAAGCGTTGGAGCCGCACAGGTTGTCAAGAAAGGCCCGTATATCATTGAGATGGGGGGTATATCAATCTATACCAGGTACTGGTATGTGTCTATAGGCATGTGTATATATATATATATATTAGTACTATGTATCTATAACTATTTGTAGGTATTTTCGGCTTGCTGCTAGTATCTTCACTTGTGGATCCAAGTTGATCACGAAGGGCACTCTATCACCACCTTGTCAGCTTTCACCTTTCGGCTTTTGTTGCTTTGACCCTTTGGCTCTCTTGGGCTTCGCAGGATCATCTTCCGGGGAGAAGGAGACCATAGTGACAAAGCCAAGACGTCTCAGCCTCACCGGGGTGAGCGCCGCGACCAGCGGGGTGAAACGCACCGATCAGCGCGGATGCTGTCGGCTGACGAGGCCTGGCGATTTGGCCGTCCTCATCAAGCAGAAGGCGTGACCAGTAGTGCGGCGTCGGCCCTCATCGGGCCACACCGACTCAGCTGGATTGCGACAGAGCGACCAGAGCAAGCGCTTCATGAGTGGAACAGTGGAAGTGTAAGAGCAAGAACACCTGTACTTTAGCCTCTCAACAGCAGGAGTATACAATACAGTAGTTTCAGAGTAGATGGCACAAACCCTTACATGTCTTAGACAGATGGGGGTTCATATTTAAATACTGCCTCTTGGGGATCGTGCTATCTGCTCTGAAACCACTGCAATTGAAAGAGTGTTGCTTTCATAAGCACTCCAGCACTTTGGCAGTGAATTTGTTGTTACGGTGTGGGATTGGGAAGTCACGTGAACCACAACCCGCACTGTTTGTTCAAGCAGCATGCAAACAGCATGCGCAAACTCTGCCCAAAGCAACACCAAGCAGACTCGTCCAAAGCATGGGATATCATGGGATTTGGTTCATAAGATATCATCAGCCTGACACGCTCCATCCAAACACCAACTAACTAAAGCGACCAATGCAATGGTTCGAGCACCAAAACAGACACCTACAAAAATACAGTAACACTTCTAAACTACTTTCCTGATGCCATAGCATCAGAAATCCATCAAACCCACTCCAAGTGAATGAAAAGAACTCTCGTTCGCTCTTCGGCTTTTCAACAACACTTGGCCACGCCGCCTCCATCCGCCTCCGCACCAATGGCGGTCCGGGCAGCTCAGCGCTCCCACCGCGCGCTCCACGCGCGTGCGGCGCTCAGCGCGCGGAACCCGCCGCGTCCGAGGCCTCGCTGTTGACGGAAGACTTGGAAGCGTATAGCGGCCAGTGCGGGAGCCCGGAGCCGAAAACGAAACGGACGGAAGGGACGAAAGGAGTTGACCAGTCAGAAGTAAGAATTGAATGGTCTTGAAGTCTCTTCAAGCATCTTCAAGCTGTACCATGACATGTACATATATGTACCACTTCTGAGCTTTCAAGGAGGTTGAAAATGCGTCGGGTCACCAAGGCAACACACCAAAACGATTACGTTTTCTTGGCCCTTGATTGCTGTGTTTTGAGTCTTCGAATTCCCATGGGCCACGAATTCAGCTGCACTAGCGACTGCATTGATTTGTTTCAAAGAGTCCTGAGAGGATCTTGCTCTTGCTCACCAGGTATGACCAGGTGCATTGGATTGCTCTTGTGTCAACCAATGGCATGTATAGTAGCACCGTACAGTTGCTGAATCTACATAAATCCACATGAATCCACTGACTAGATGTATGTCCCAGTACCCAGTAGCTCACGGCCGAGGGATGACCAACAGCGAACCATCCCTTTTTAATCCCCCTGCGTATAGAGCGCGATGGCCCGGTCAACCAAAGCCAGTGCTGAATCCGGGATGAACACCCGAATGCCTCTTGAAAGGAGAGACCATACCGACCCCAGTACCGACCCCGCTCGGCTCCTCGCCCCAGAAACAGCCGCCCAAACACGGTCGAAGATGTGTCGTTAAGCGATCCACCGCCCTCCGTAACTTGAAAGAGAGGGCATCGGAGCCCCACCTGTCTTCTGTGAGAACAGGTGGGTTCATCCGAGTTGATGAGCTAGCGATCAGCGGGACGTAGACTCTTGATTCACCAACCTCCCCTAGGTTGAATATGGAAATACATTGAAATACTGGAAATCCTCTTCATATGGGGGCTTTTTTCATCCTTTTTCAAGAGTCTAGGCTTGATGAACCTCTCCACCAAAAGCCTTCAAAATCAAAGCGCTACGGCCGGTACGGCTACCTCTCCACCTCGTTGCTTCGACCCCAGTCGTCCTTCCTCCCAGTCGTCGGCTGGGCCCAGGTACGGCACACATGGGGCGATCCAACGGCTGCAGTTCATCGCCTCCCAGGCTGGGTGGGTCCCACCGGGACCCACCGGTGGTCCGAGACATGAGGACTTGAGGCAAACATGTGAAAAAGAATACTAAACCAAACCATACCAAACCAACATTGGTTCACTTTTTCGTTTTTTTTGGGTTTGAGAGAGGTTCACATTGAAAAAACGATGGATAAAGATATATCGATCGCTTTTGGTGAACGCGTCTTTCCGCAAGGACTTCGAACGAAAGGAAGAGTTGATGTTGGGCTGGCCTGAAGGTGGAACCATCCTGGCAGCGGCATGGATCCGTTGTTCACTGCGCCCGGTGTCATGGATCGATGCCATTCAGCACAGTAGGCCCTGTCAATCGCTATCAGGTCCACTGTGGTGGGCATCTAGTCAGACTGACTTGGGGCAGTCTCATAACACCAGCGGTCTCAACTGACTTGAGTAATTGAAGATAGGGATGCCTTTCCAAACACCAGCGGTCTCAACTGACTTGAGCAATTGAAGATAGGGATGCCTTTCCAAAAACCTCGAGTCCATGTCTCTCACTTGTCTTTTCAGTGCATCTGCCCCCGGAGTTTCGGAAAGAAACCCAGATGACACAAGAGCAGCGCCTGCCGTGCCCGCGCCCTGTGACAGACCTCCAAAGCAAACCTGAAGATTGACGCTCTAAAGCCCCGGTGCTCAGTTTTTGGCACTTGCAGCCGCCACGCTGTCGCTTGCTTGGTGCAATTGGTGCAGTTTGGTGCATCCCTTTGCGCAGGAATGTGTACAACTCCAATCAATAGGAATAGGTCGGTGGTCTGAGTTCCCTCATGAGTCCTGATGGTACAGAGAAGCCCTATGGCAAGTCACCTGGAATAAAAATTCATTTAAAAAAAAAAAAAAATCTAAAGGTTACAACAACCAAAATAACAGATTATGTGGTTGTTCATGTAATTCCATAAGAGATTCTGAGAAGGCAGATGAAGAAGCCCAGATGTCTGCTGGTGGTGGACCCCTGGGCTGCATGGAAACAGCTTGACCTGGGCTAAGCTTTTTTCAAGTGGCGACGCAGGTCACCGCATGGTGAGTATGTTGAAAAAACATATCATGAAACGAGACCCAGAACGATCTCAGTCTCGTCTGGACACCATACCCAGAACGATCAAACCCTCGGACCCCCAAAAAATCCATTGGTTGGGAGTTCAACCCCCACGGGACTCCCCAACCAGATGGAACGGTGCGCGATTCGCTCACCGGAACGGCGACGATTCTGTTCGCGGTTCGTTCAGAACGGCGAATGGATCCTGAGGCTTTGCTTGGATCTTCTGAAGAGGACCACGAATTGCAAAGGGCGTGGGAGCTTGGAAGGCTTGAAGGTGAACGCCATTGACGTCACATTCTTCCGGTTCCATGGGGCTCTTCCAAAATCGAAAGTGGAGTGAGTTCACCACTTGGAAAGTGGAGTGAAAGCATGTGAGGTCACCACTTTCCTGTTAGGTTCGAACTGAAGACTCATGGTGATCCGAGTCTTCGGCCATGCCTCCAGCAGGATGAATTTCAGGGCCAGGGTGTGTGTGTGTGTGTGTGTGTGTGCGTCGTCCACATACATGATGGTTCAACGGCCGTGGACTTCGGAGGTTCCGGGCATTGACATCGTTCCACCGATCCACCCAATAACTCTTCCCAGTGTGTGTGTGTGTGTGTGTTTTTGATATTCCAGAAGGCTTCAGCTACTGTTGTGAACCCAGAATCTTGATGATCTCTTCGTGACAGGCTCGCCTCAAGGGTGCAGGATGGTGGAGGTCTCTCGTTGGTGGTCCCTGATCCCGGGCCGGAGCCCGGACCACAGGGACCTCTAGAACCGGTTTTTGCCCGTGTGGATCTCACCAAAATGGAGGCACCACGGCATCACAGGATTTGAAGGGCTTTGATGGGTAGAGTGGATGGCTTTGATGATTTGGGATGGGTGGGTTGGTGCAGTCGAAAACCTCGACCTTCACATGAAGAGGGTCATTCTGCCCTGACAGAGTGGATCTTCTCATTCCCTGTCAGACCCTGTCAGACCTCCCCACCACTGCGCGTGACGCTCAAACGAGGTACACCGAAGCGCACAACTGCCTCAAGGAGAATTTGGGCTTCGGCTTGGGTGGCTACATGGTGATGGGCTTGCAGTGGCAAAAACGAAAGACCTTGTGACCATCAGGTCACCTCTGAGGTCAAGCGAATGAGACCCTCAACGCCACCTGTTTTCAGAGCCAGGGTTGCTCTATGTGACCCTGAGTGCCAGAGTGGTTACCATCTAAAGGATCTAAACACGGCACCCTCAAACTCAAACCCCCACTTTTCCATAGGCTATACATACAAGATCATACAATCGCAATCCAATGGGTCACCTGTCTGGGCTGGGCTTCTACGGCCCTACACGACTTAAATGGGCCTCCAAACAGAACATTTTCGGTCTGAGTCCATGCTGTTTTGCTTGGGAGTTGTCCATGTACCAGGTGCCTGCGATTGCCTACACGCCGTTTCAACAGGAGTTGTTGGAAGGTAATGACGCCGCTCTACCCATCTACGACCAAGTCTGGGCGTTGCTGGCACCGTTGGAAGCGGTCCGGATGCCCCCACACGGGGGCCATGACAGCGCTGCCAGGTGGATGCGACGCAGAAGCAGAACGGCATCCTGAAGGCACTCGGGGCACTCGGAGGGGTCTTTTTTCCGTGAGGACTTGGGCTGACAGCTCCTCCGCTTTGTTTTTTGGAAGCTGAGCATTTGCATGCGTGAGCTTACAGTGCCAGCCTGTGCCAGCCAATGTCCTGCGTTGATCCTACGCATCGCCAGGAGCTTTACGAGCAGGACTTGAGTCAGGCGAGAGCCTCGCAGATGAAGGAGAACATCCGAGGGTTCGGGACACTCAGACGGTGTTTCAACCCCTCAGGTCATTGAAACTCGACATGTTTTCGGAACCATGACGTCATGTCTTTAGGCTTTCCCAGACGCTCCGTGAACGACGCCCGACTGGTCCCTCAAAACCGGGACGGGATGAGGGTCCAGACCCTGCATAGGTTCGGGTCCAGCGTCTGGGTTACTCCAGTGTGACGTCCGGACGTTTGAGAAGTCACTGCGAAACCTGTGTGGAATGAAGTCTTGTATCACTTGTGTCTAAGCTATGTAAACATGGCTCCATGGCTCAACGTGTTCAAGAGGGAACATGATATCATGTTCATGTTCTACCCCTTTCTTTTTAGCGGTTGGACCATGAATTTGACACGGTTCCGAACCAAACCATCCTCGTTCACCGCTCGCAGGATGGGATAAAACCTTTCCCAATCGAGTGATCGAAGATGGATGGGCTTGAGGTGAGTGGAACGACACATGAGTGAGTGATTGCCTCACAAACTTGAAATAGTTACTAGTTCAACACCTGGAGCCCTGGTCCTCCATGCAGCGACCGACCTTCCAGGTAGGTCGTGCCCGTATCCTGGTGCCACGACCCACCATATGAATCTTGCAATGAGTCTCAGCAAATCACAGTCACTTCTCAAAGTGAGTGGGCTAACCGTGTCAAAGCTCATCGCTTCAGCAGGGCCCGAGATACGAGCATCGGCGAGCATCGGCTCGCTCGCGCCCTGAGGTGCTACCATCAACTCACGAATCTTTGCTTGGAGCAAGGTGATTACGCAGCAGCACCTCGACTGCATCAGAACCTGAAACAAAGTGCAGCCCAGAATGGCCAAATATGATCCATGATGTATACTGTACATTGACCATCATTGACAACGGATTCCATTCCGAGCAAGTGAGAATGCCTTTAAAACAGCAAACCATATACGTAGATAGTGTGTTAAAAACACCTGGAATCGATCGCCTACGCGAGTCGATGTGGCTTCGTTCTGAATCAGAGGTGTCTCGCTTTGTTCTTAGATGGGATGCACAGCACGGTCACCTGCACAGCCCCACAGCACAGCACGGTCACCTGGCGGTGTTCTCCCGAACAGGCGGAGAAGTACCTGGCCAAGAGCCGTGAGTTTTGCGTTGAACCTCAGGCGGGTGGGGGTACGATCGAATGAGAGTCGACAGTCAGACAGTCGTGGGGCTTGGCCGTTCCACTCGTGGTTGGTCCTTCATGGTTTGGGATGTGTTTTGGTCCTGCCCCATGTGGTTTGGTTGATTTTGTCATCCGAACATCTGGATGGCTCATATGGCTCACCTATGACTCATGTGGTCACAGGTTGTTGGTCATCAAGGTGGATCTTGCTTTTGGCAAGTGCAGTGCTGCAGGCAGTCTTTGCCACCTGCATGACTATCATCAGACTACGAGCTTTACAGCTTCCTGGTGGGATGAAAACTCAAGACCGAAGGTCGAACAGGGAGCAATGAAGGGGATCGACGTCAGTTTGCGCGCATGGTTTTCTTCATTGGAGGCTTCATGTGACCAAGCAAAGGTGGATTGGAATGGATTGAATCCATGTTGAACCTCTTTCTTCCCATGAAAAGTCCTTGAAGTGTTCTATGAAGATCATCCAAGTCTGACAGCTTTTGTTCGTTGAAGGAAGCCCTCTCCACAAAGCCCCTGACTTCAAGGAGACACTGTTTGTAAGACCAATTTATGATGTTGTTTCAAGAGGATTCTCAATGAACCCAAGAGGCCATTGATATCAAGTGAAGCACCTGGAGACGGCTCAATCTCCACCAATCCTGTTTGGACAACTTGACGCATCGATTCACTCGGCTGGACTGGGGAGCGCCCGAAACTCCTAAACCTTGCTTTGGTGATTGGGAATAAGGCCCTCACATGGATAGGGTCCTACCAAATCCAATTCCTTGGGAAGGTATCAGGTTCCTACCACTTAATGTTCCTATATACTATATACCCAGTATATAGACGGAAAACGGCCCATCCCTTTTTAAATACATGTGTTGATCCTTTTATACCTCTTTGGCGGTAGATGGTAGGTCGCACGTCGCTCCCCGTTTCACGGAATCCCATCACGTCAGCGCAGCGCAGCGCAGCTTGAGGCGACAATACTCTGACATTCAGAACTTCACCAGCAAAGCCCACCATACGCCCTTCAAGGCGGGACTTTGTTGGGAAAAAAAAAGTTTTGAAAAATTAGATAACAACGATGGAAAAAACGGCTGTAGACAGGGACACAAGGGTAACAGGCGATTGTGATGAAACTGATAGCTAGTTTTGAACCGGAGCTCTGTGTCCGGATTCAAACACAGACAAATGCATGTGCCAGATTCACCTCATTGATCTCCATGGTCTGATGATGGGTTCACATGTGGACGTGTTTGACGTAGGTTGAGGGGACCCCCCCGGCATCCGAAACTACAACCATGTGATTATTCATCCAAATAGGGACGCCTTCCAAAGACCCCCCCAGAAGAGCGAAGATAGACCGAAAGCCCATTGGTTGGGGAGCCATCGCTATGTTGATTCATGCAAAGCCACGCGAAACCCAACAAATATCAGGATCATCTACTACTGGTAGTCAGTGAGTCAAGGGATGACTGACTTATCCAGTTTGTAGACGAACCAACGGGTTTCGGGGCAGAAACTCAAACCCAAAGCGCGTGGGTCATATGCCTCCATTCGCTTCGTGGGTCATGTGCAGAACCATTTTGTGAGGATGATTCCAGCCAATCGAAGATCTTTGCGGCGTATGGATTGTCGGGCAGCTCAAGTTTGGGTCAATTGTTTGTCGTGGTGAACCTTTGAAACGGCAATCTTTGCAAACCAATTGCTACTCGTAGGTCGAATTGGTGGTTGAGTGGAAGCAATAGAGAGAATGGAGGGCTTACAATAGGAAGAGCCAGCGAAAGGTACCTAGGTCGGTGATTGGAACAAACCAGTATAAGTACCTGACTTGGTTGGGTGGGCTCGTGGTTTCAGTCTCACACATCGCCAGCTGCTTCCTGTTGCTGGGGCACTGCCATCCGGTTTCCCTCACGACGTCACTCGGTCCGCACCGTGACACGACCGGTGAGCCCCAAGCGGCTCGGCTCAGGTACAACATGGCAACGGGCAAGTACCGAGATGCCGCCACCAGCTTCTCCCAGGTGAAACCCCAGGAGCACAGTAGAAGTCGCGAACGAGCGCCAACCGAGCGCCAACGATGGGCCGATGTTTTAAGAACGCGGATTTAAAGGTGTTGGGGATTGGCATGGATTGGTCGAATGAGTGTTGCAACCTGAAAACGAAGTTCAGTTGTGCTCTCGGGTGCTCCGTGCATGCAGTACGAAGCTTCGCTATATGGATTTATGTGCTCAAGTTGCCAATCTTGAGCTGGTTAGCAGTGCTGGTGCTTTCCACCGTGATTGCACGGTTGCCCACCTATCAAAATAAAGGAGGGGCCGGTTTCTCTATAGGTGCTTGACCAAGGCACCTAGTGGACAGCCCTAAAGTCCGACCCGCAAGTCCTTGTTGCTGAACTGGCGGATATCGGAGGCGGATACCCTCCATAACCCTCCGACCGATTCATAGGAATCCTCCGAATCCTTTTTCACTCAGTAGGGCCACTCAGTAGGGCCCTTACACAAGATAGAGTGTCCTGATTCATCCCGAGTACTAAAAGAAGATATAATATCAATAACAAGAATAATGGCAATACAATAATGAACACACACACACTACCCAATTAGAAAAAAGAAATCGCACAAACCGATCTGTGAGATTTCCCCATCCCCAAACGACCCAAGTGATCCATCCATCGGTTCTGCCGCAGGACTTGGGCACGGCCTTCTCCGATCTCCTGAGCCCTCAAGACGTCTGTGACGCCCAGCCGGTCATGGACCGCGTTCGCGGAGCCATTTTGGGGGAAGAAGGATGGCAATGGCCCAGTTCACGGCACAAAGGGCTGTTTGAAGCAGGAAGTTGCTTGTTTTGGGGGGGGACAGATTCGGAGTAAAAAGGCCTGGCTTCATGACAAGGGTCCACATCATCATGCAATCGACGGTGCGGATCGCGAAGACGAGGTCTTTGGGACGGATCGCTGTCTTGAAAGGAAAAGGGACCCGACGTCGTTTGTTCACAGCTTCGCCCGCTTCACACCATCCCAGTGCTTTCAACCGATGCCGACCGATGGCTTATGACCCACGGAAGTGGACCAGCCCATGGGGTGGAACCACCTCCATGGGTTTCGCTCCGGGTTTAGCTAGGCAGAAGAACGACTTCAGGTAACGAGGCCAAGTCCTCTTCAAGGACCGACCTATAACAACTTATATACAGTAAACTCCTGCAATGCTTTGGACTTCGTCTTGAAACCCATCAAAAAAATGCAATAGAAAAGCGCCATAGAGGGATGTTTACTTCCGACCCTGAATAGTCGGAAGTCCGAAGGTCCACGTCTTGGGTTGATGACGTCCATCGGATTTCGTGCGTCCCAGCCATCCATTCTCAAATTCTCCGTACGTCCATCCCACCATCTGCCCACCACGGCCTGTGCATCCAAATAAGATCTAATAGGTATCCCAAATCCTCCAATCCACACATGTTGCATCCAAGCAACCAACCTCACCATCCAAAATGGCCAAGCACCCCCGTGATCCTCCATAACCATGGGAAGAAAAAGAAAAAGAACACCCCAAGACAGTGGAGAAGAATTGAAAGAATTGGAAAAACAACCACCCCAAAGCAGTGGAGAAAATGGAAAAGAACACCCATGAACACCATGGATCTCGTCTCAGGTGGCGCTCTACGGTGTGCTTTGTGCCTTAGGCTCCCTCGACCGCGCCGAGGCTCTGCGCCTCCCCCGCGGGTGTTGGGCTGGGTCTCGTTCAACAGACGTGGTGCAACGATTTCGTCAGGAGTATATACGGGTGGCTGGAATGTGGATCTACAGGGGGGCTTCATGCCCACACGAGTCTATCAAGCTCACTATCTTGAAGATGGCCTGAAGATGTACAGCCAAAAGACGATGAAGGATGAAGATGTTGACTTTCATCCTCAAAATTCCCATGAATGTGTCGAGACAGAGAGTTAACTCTTCTATTTGTCTCCAAGACGTTCGACTTTTGGTTCACTTACACTCCTGAGAGAAGGATGCAAGATGATGCAAGTGGAAAATCATCCGCTGGTTGGGTCTTCGGATGTCTTCGGCTCCTCGTGGGCGGGAGTGATGTACTCCACACATTGCTGGCTTCTTGGAGGTGTGAAAACGGGCCCACCCGGTCCACCGGTGAAGGGATGCCAAGGGAACCAGGGAATCCTTTTGACATCGATCATCTCCTCCGTTTCGAAGATGGTTGGGGTGGGTGCCAGGGGGGTCTAACCACCGAACCTGAGGATATGGGCCAGGAGCGCTGGGGATCGGAATGGTTCATCCATGTTCATCCCAAATTCTGCAGCTACACTGTAGCGGAACGACCTCCAAGTCCAGGTCAAGGACTGAATGCTGCACCGGTATGGGGCATTTGACAAAGATTGAGAGATCGTGTGCCACGTGCAACTGTATATGGTTGGTAATCCATGTCATTCCATTTCGAACATGTTCAATCCAGGCAACTTTACCTTGCCCTAGGTAGACCTGGTTTGTTTCCTTGACGCTTCATCAACATCTGTGATTTTACAAGTTGCGGTGCGGGGCCATGGAAGCTCACCACGCCTCGAAATCACCTGTAGGTGCAGCAGAAGCTCTTGGACTCCCAGACCTTCCGAGAATGCTTGGACATGGCACCGTTGGGAAGCCCGGACGGACAGGGTGTTTAACGGACAGGGTCCCACCTGGCACAGGAAGAAATCGGCCGTAGTTTGGTGTGGTAAATCGGTAATCAGCCGCTATGCCTTTGATGAACAAAATTGTATTTTGTTGCATGGTTTCGGTATGTTTCGGTATGTTCTAGAAGGGTACATCATTGTGCAACTACACGGAAGGGTTCCCTCGCTGGATCCCGCCGATCGTCGTTGCGTAGAGCCCCAGAGCTGAAGAACTGGCCCAGCTTGACGGGAGACTGACAGAGGATTGCCCCCTGATGTACCGGAACGCACCGGAACTGGAAATGGCCTCCTTATGAAGAGTGTCAAACCTATTCGGTCACTTACTCAAAATGTGAATTCTCATGCACAGCAGGGCCCAGGTGATGACAAGTTCCCGACCAGCTGAAAGGTCGACTCTGTCAGTGGAGAAACGCGTGGAACTGGCACCGGTGTTTGGTGTTTGAAGTGGATTCAGAAAGGGGCATCCAGAACTGGTACCTCAAGTGGAATGGATTTTCTGTCAACATCAACTTGGACATCTCAACACACAGCGCTGCTTCCTCTCGTCACCTGACTGCTTTCAGGCAGATTCGGGACCTCGCGGTTGACTTCTGCAATTGCAGGCAGGTGGCCGGGAGGGATTGGATGTTCGGCAGAAAGAGACCATTATGGAGGGATGCAAATTGATGCAAAGGATGAGTTTGACCATCCTGGGGTCTTTGAGTCTTTGCGGATGGACTGTGTCATGTCCATTCAGTTGGAGAATGGGGTGGAAACAAAGCCTCCTGCTGGCATGAATGAATCAAAATGCTCCATGCTTCGGAAACCCTTGGTGTTCGGTCCCCCCTTTTCGGTGGGTCCAACGGAACCCGATGAGAATCCGATGCTCGACTCGTCGACCCGAGTTGCGGGCAGTTTGCTGCCGACAAAGGCAAGACACATTGAAAAATTGGTCTTGGACAAAGGCAAACAGCCCCAGCATAGCCCAAGCCACGAAGTGTTGAGCTCGATGAATGAACCTCAAAGGATCTCAGTCTTGGGGCTGAAGGGCACTCGTCTAATGCCTTTAGCTTTTCATGATGCGCAGACCAAGACTGCAAGGTATGCAGCCTGCCTCTCTTCTTTGGGGAAGCTCCAGGAGTGAGAACAGTGTGTGAGAGAGGCCGGCATTGGACTTGAAAAGAAAGCACGCAGTTATAGATCATGTCCCTTGTAGGGATAGAAGAGAGAATCCACTGAGGAATCCGCTTCCAGAAAATTTGGAGAAGTGCTTGTTCCTTTTCAATTGTAGAGATACATCATTTACCAGCTACATCCAGGTACGTGTTTCATCATGTTTCCATTGCTTCATTCCGGTACGTGGTCTAGAAACCTTTTCCGAAAGAGGTCCCCGTTTCTTCGGGCTGATATCGAGTAGGAAGGTGGACCCACACCTTGTGACGGACGCCTCTCGACGTGGCTGTTTCTGTCAAACATCCTGTCGTTTGATCAAACTTGGTGCATCATGGGCCCCACCATGTCTTCACCTAGTGACCAGGTGCATCACTAGTAGCAAAAGGACGCTGAAAGTCTTGTCGTCGGAAGATCGCAGGAGCCTTTGTCCTTGGATGTTCACCTCCATGGGCAAGTAGCGGGGCACCTCAGATATGGCTAGAGACTGGCGTGCCCTTGCAGTGATCACCAGATATGTTACTGCAAGTAAGGTCAAGACTTCAAGATGTCCAGTTCAAGCATTCAAAGAGTAATACTCTAGCGTTAATGTTCTGTTTGGGGTTTACGCAACAATCGATCAGCCACGTGCAGCCTTTATTTTAACCCACCTGAACCGTGTAGATAGCCTGCCTCACTCCGGCTCACAGCCTATCATCCCTATCCGGTAGCAGCTCGTGTAGAAAATACCGAGCCGCATCGGTTTGCGAGGCGAATTTGTGTGAGCAAATCAGGAACAAAGGCAAGGCGGTGCCGTCGGTGCTGACAGGAAAGCGATCCGTAACCACAGAGACTGGGGTAATAAAGCAGTTACTGGCAGATCCTCCATCCCAGACAGTGAACTGCAAGTTGAATACCTAAGAGCGATGGCCTCCAACCTAATAGCGATCCAATCCTGCTTTGTTCTAAGAGCCTGACTCATCACCTGACTCATCAGCCATTGCCAGCCATCGCCAGCCAGTCAAGTCCACGGAAGTCCCGTCTGCTCTCGCTCCCGCGGACGTCGCGTGAGGCATCGTTCAGTACTTCGCGCCCTTCATGTCAGTCTCGCTCCATCGCATGGCGGAAGCCTTCAACACCGACGTGGAGTCAATTCAACGAGAGGCGAGTGGGTTGGTGGTGGGTTGGCAGTTGGCTGAGTTGGCCATGGTTTGAGACGGAGGATGGACATTGGGGAAAGTCAGAACATCTAGGGAAGTCCTTGCTACAAGGCTAAAAGACCCTAAAAAAAGATACCCTTGTTTTCTTCAGCAAGCTACTCTATGGCTCGCCATTGGTTGGCCTTGGGCGGCCATTGCTTCTTTTTTCGCTATATCCTCATGTAGGATCCTTGTAGGATACCAAATATCCTTGATGCACATGGACCGCTTGGGTTTCCACCCAGCAACCCGCCTGGGTCTTGAAGCAGCTTCGATCCTTTTTCCTATCTCGTCCCAGTCCTCATCGGTGCTTTCAAAAGACCTGCGACCTGCGTCCGGCGACCTCCAACCCTTCCAGATCTCTCCACAGTGATTTTTCCGGTCAGATTTGTCCCGAAAAATCACTGATTCCATCAGATCCCATCAGATCTTATCAGATCGGGGACAGGGTGACCGCCAACGCGGTCTCTCCCCATGCCCACCTCCGGTCCAAGGTGGCGAAGCTCATCGGCCAGCGACAGCTGGATGCGAAGATCGACTCCCATAGGTCGGTGCTCACAGAGCGCCAGCGATGCGATGACGCACAGCGATGCGGAGGATGGGTTTAGAGGGGATCTAGATGGATAGGTTACAGTTCAGACAGTTCAGACAGTCAGAGATGAGAGGAATTTTGATGGAAAAGGATGCAACATCGACATACAAAATCATCATAAAAGTTGATGTTTAAGAGAGCGCATGGTCTCGGGTCGGGTCATGCTACGTCTTCCAGTGCTGGTGAAGGAATGTGTGAAAGGGACCCTGCTAGTTCTATGGGTCCAAGGATCCTTAGAGGGTTGTGAGTTTTCGATTTCTCCTGAGGTCGGGACAGACATTTGCACCTGGTTGGTGTCACAAAGACGTGGACCACATCCACTTACCAGAATAGCAGTGGTCTGTGGAGGTTCCCACAGCTTTCCCTGCAGCCACCGGCTTCCACCGCAGCCAGTCCTAGGAAGATCCTTCATGCCAGTCACGCCGATCACCGCCGTGCCACGTGCGCCGTCCTCGTCACCGGTTCGCTTCAAGGGTGGCGGTCGTCACCGACCGTCGGTTCGGTGTTGGGTTGTTGCCATCGTCGTGCTTGTACAGTCTCAGAGTGCGTTAAGGCCACAGCGGTTTGCCCTTTTTGCCAGATGGAAGTGGAGCAGTTGGGTTCTTTGGAAGACGGCTTGACTCTACAGCGGGACATGGGGTGGTCCACTTCCATGAGTGTTGCAACGTGTTTTTCTGCGGGTTTTGCGCGGCGGACTCGGCCAAACATGGCCCAACAGGTGGTTTTGCCCATCCATATGAGAACCCACTCTTGTTTGAAACAAGCTCTGGGGTAGAAAGAACAGAGATGGTATTTGTACTATTTTGTACTTCTGTATAAATGGAGTCAGGACCAAAGCAGCTTTGCAGGACGTGTTGATTTTCACAATGCTAAAGGGATCTGAAGGGCATGAGGCTTTGCAGAGTGCTGTTCTTGGGGTTACTTGCCTTTAGCCAAATTTTGGCCAATGGTTTGCTCGCTAGAAATTTGTCTCAAACCAAGGATGCAATTAAACACAGAACCCAGAGCAAGACGCAGCCACTGCACAGTGCACTGGGATGTAGTATGATGATGTATGATGTAGTGGAGCACTATGGTGCACCTTTTTGCACGTGATTCTTGCAGGTGTGGCAGGCGTGGAGGCTTCTCCCATGTTTGGACAAGTTGCCGATTCGGCCAACCGGGCGAACCTGGCCAACCCCTGATCAGACTGGCAGGTATCAGAACGCGCTGCGCGTGAGCGGCGACTTCCTGGTTCCTTGGAATTCAGAGAGAGTTTTGATGCCATATGGCCCGACCCAGGAAAAGTGGATAGACCTTTCGACCAGTCCTTTGGGGAAACCGGGGAAACCCCCGGGATGCGCAAGGCGAGTTGCTGGAAAGATTTTGTACAAGGAACATGGGCCTATGAGGTCTGGAGTTTGCAAAGATAAAGATGTTTCTGGTAAAATGTTCAATATGGATATTTGCGGGAAAGGATCCAGCGATGTCAGCTGGTGCTACGAGGCAGGTCAAATGTTAATCACCACAAAAAAAATAGCAGGTGATTTGCGACTTGGATCACCACATCCATGAGAATTCTTTGGAAATGACCACCCTGTATGTTGAAATAGGCTGTGTGTTCACCGTCTATGCTCATCAGCTTCAGCTTCCCCTCTTCGGCTTCTCACATGTTCCTCGAGCCCAGCATGGACCCAACGCTGTCACCGGGAGCCCCGCGCGCAAGGACAGCACCCATGCCTTGATCCTGAGGATGAACTTGTCGCTTGGAGAAACAAGACGAACGAGACGAACTCTGGCAAAAACGAGAATCATTGGGTAGAAGACCAGGAAAATGGAATCAACTAATAGATAATAATAGTGTCAATTTGGGGTCAATATCTAAGGGTGAAAGTGAATTGTTCATGTTTGTTCATGCTCGTTCATGTTGTGTTTCTCTTTGGAGTTTGGCTGAATATGAGTGTCGATTTGGTCAATACTAAGGGTGAATTGCAGGGGAATAGGAGTAGCAGGGATGGGCATCCCAGAAACTTTGCTTTGGATGTGATGTGAACTATGGCTTCATTCAACAACAAGCCAAGGAAACAACCCAGTGATTTGTTCTTGATAGCCTGGCTTTGTTTCAGCCTGACCTGGGTCATGGTTTTTGGAGCGCAATTTGTCGAGGCTCAAACATGACTTTGGACCTGCTCTCAGATGGAACACTGGCGCTTTCGCAACGAACACATGTTGTTCCAAAATGCGGTCGCATTTTCGTTCAGTGCGGTGCTTCGAGGTGTTCATTTGGTGAGGCAGAAGAAATAGCGACCCACTGGGCAGAGTCGACGTTGCGCGAGAAAAGAACTGCAGCCGACGGCCAGTGCCAGCCATCGCCAGCATTCGCCAGCGTACATGTCCTGGCTTGGATGGTGCCGCGAAACGCATGGAGCGTCGTGTTTTCGCCGCAGGCCTAGCCAAAGTGAGGGACGATATCTGAGTTTCACATGTCTCGGGTAACCAGTATGATCCAGTCTTCCAAAAGATGGAAGAGCTCGGTTTCAAAGGCTGGCCTCAAAATTGAGGCAAGATATCGAGACAGACTTGAAAAATGGACCGCATGTCCGTTGTTGCAGCTTCCTAGGTGATGCTAGGAGGTTCGAGTTGAGAAAGGTCATCCAGAGATGGTTCGAAAGAAAGAGAGAGAGAGAGAGAGAGAGAGGGAGACACGGACATCAATGGACATCAGATGGCGTCCGAAAGTTGAAAAATCCAACTCTCTTAGTGTTGGAAGAATATTGCTAGACCAAATGATTCATCACGGTTTCCCAGGTCTCTACTCTGACCAAATGACTTGTTGGACCCGACCAGAATGCCACACACAGCCCATGTTCGTCAGGACGGCAGAGTAAACTTCAGCGACTTTGTGAACCTTCTGAAATGAGACGAGGTAAAAAAATGTTTCACTCTGTAGAGTCCTTCAATCGGAGAGATATCGGAGAGGTATCAATTGCTGAGGACATTCATGTGTGGCACAGCAACATCTAGCATAAGAAAAGATCCCGATCAATTCCGATATAGAAAGAAGATAACAATTCACCAATTCATTCAAAAAAACTATATATATACATATACAATTTCTATTATATAAGAAAATAATTTGAATATCTTAATAAATACTTGGAATTTGCAAGTATATTGCAAATATTAATAAATTGAATATATATAATTTGGATTCTTAATATAATTTATTTTTGTTTGAATAGGAAGATATTGGAAAGATATGGGTTTGTATTTTTTTGGCGTATATTTCTTGATATAGTGGTTGGAAATTCGAACATTATATATAAAAATTAGGTATTAAGATGAAATTGATGGGTGGTTTTTGAGGCTTATAGACATTTATAAACCAATATTGTATGATATTTGTAATTATATGATTTATGGGTATTTAATTTGGTTAAAATTATTTGGATATTTTTGTGGGAAGAGAAATTATTTATGTCTTAGGGATACGAGCTAAAGGAATATTTATACGAATTTTATCCGATTTATGTTTGATTTATATTCGAATTACGTATTTTTTTTACAATTTCCTACCATCTCCTATCCATCCCATATTTTGGAATTTTTTGTGGAAGAATGCATTTATCTAATTTGCCTAGCATTTAATAGATGTTGCTTGCCAATTGCCTCGGCGTAAAAGGGACTCATTGTTGGAAATCTAGATAATCCAATGATATAATTTTAAATTTGCGAATAATATCCTCGAATTATACCCCCGAATTATATCTTCGAATTATATTATCTATTCAAATTTCCCGGTCCTATTACGGAAAAAAAAATATCCACCTATATATTGTAATTGATTTTTAAAAAATAATATATATATATATTAATTGAAAATGCCACCTTAATTTAAAAGGTGGACGGGTGGATCACCTTGGGCAATGCTATGGATTTGTGTTTTGCTTCATTTTTGTTCGATTTATGTAGTAATTTTTCTATCTGTTTTCGATAGTCCTAATTTGTTGGTTGAAAAGTCCGATTTTAAGTCTGGACAATATGGATATATATTTTGATTTCGGATCTAGCACACTTATATTGGACGCGAGGGTTGATTTTCCTGTCTTAGGAGAAAACGAGAGCTCCACCTTGCACTTGCATCGTGTTGTAGAACTAGCAAAACACTACGAGGCTTGGGCGTTATTGGGATTAGGTCTTGGGATGTCTCGGACTAGGTGGGTTCGTATAAAGAGGGCTTTCACCCGACCCTGTTATAAAGCACTCGAGCAAGGGATTATTATATATCGCAACCGACCACTCTTTTCGGCCCAAATACCCTTTAGGATCCGACAGATGTGGACAGGAGCCGCTGCCGGGAGATCGAATCCGAGAGATTCTGACCTTGCTCACGAGACTTGGCACCCGCACCGAGCTGATTCATCGGTTCTCTCCACTGCGGCCGTTGGACACGAATGGCATTCCAGAGGACTCTCAAGCCACGATCACATGGCGATTGGACATCTCCCTTCGCTCAGCCGAGAGCAATCAGCTGTTTGGAGCCTTGATGGCCCTATGCGGCAACGGCATTGGCCAAATGATCCTGTTTCGGATTCGACCAGCCACACTGCAGCGATCCCAATTGGCTCAAGCCGTGGCCCACAGAGTCAGACGCTAGCTCATCGACTTTTGGAGCATGCCTTTCACAATAGTGGGAATACCTACTTCCAGAACAGTATGATGCTATGCCAGTTCTGGGCAACCATAGTGTTTGAAGACTTCACCCCTGAATGGTGGGGTCCCTGGGGTCAACACATTCAGCGATTATTGATGGATGATTCAGGTGCAATGGTGGACCTGAATGTGGATGAACCTTTCATCTCACTTCATTGCACCTGGCTTGCAACACATCCAACGGGGAGGCAGCAAGATGCTGCGGAATATGCAGGATGATTGCGTGAGCAGTTTTTGCAGCCGACGCCGTGGGGAACTATCCAAAAGGAATGGGAAAGTAGAATGTTGGAAGAAGTGGTTGATCGGGGCGCCATCTATGCCCCCATCTTGTTTCGATGCCCTGACCAAAAAGCATGCCGATTGCAAGACTTGATTTACTTATGGCACCAACAGGCACCTCACACCGTGGCACTCACATGTGCACATCCCATGGTATGCCTGCAGATTGAACGATTCCTTGACCTGAACCACAAGAATGAGATCCTGATTGACTTGCCCCGTACTGAGGTCATGCTACCAGTTTTTGCCGCTTCGAGCGGCCTGCAAGTGCAGTGGGCTCAGTTCCGGATAGTCTGGATGACTTTGCACCTGGGCCCGATTCCTGATGCCGGGCACTACCAAGGCTGTCTTCTCACGAGTGGTGATGTTTGGATGAGCGATGATGATCGCTTACCATGGAAGAGCCGCCTTCACGAAGAGCGCAAACAAAATTGCTACTTGTTTTGGTTGACGCCACAGGAGCACCTTGTTCAGTTTCGGAGAAGGCCGTTCTACCACCCAAGATCCACAGATGAATAGACAGAGCTGCGTGCTACCGCATTCAGTCAGCCGTGAACACACTAGTCTGAGGCAACAGAAGCTCCTGAAGCTTCCGCACATACGTGTGTGCTGCCCAACACGGGCCAACTCGCACTTGGCCGGCTCTGAAATGAAATGAAATGAAATATATTAATTGATGATTTCTATATTGTAATATGTGGTATATTATCTGTGGTATATTATGTGGAATTGATTATATCGAACGGAGGAAATTACGATATGGATTTTGTGAAATGATTAGAATATTTTTGAGAGAGGATGATATTTGGAATTTGATGATTTATGCAAGAAGGGGCTTTGTTCTATCAGCCCATATGTTTGCCTCCAATTCGAGCGTTATTCTGCCCTCGAATGTAATTTTTTTTTTTTGATTCACACCGAGGTCACCTTGCTACGTTTTTAGTGATGTAGGCACCATTGTGATTTGGGAACCATACAAGGTGATGGCAGGTCTATCGCATGAAGGGAATGGCCCAACAGAAGGCCACTATCGAGCCATCCTGTTCTATTTAGGAATGCAGTTTATTATTGATGATTTTGCTTTGCCGGTGGTTACGCCACGTCATGAGGAGTTTTGTAGAAGTCTGTACCTCTTGTGGCTAGTACCCCAAACAGCATCGAGGAGCATCTTGGCTCTATCCATTGAAGCGATTTGCACCAACAACTTTCGAGGCCATTGCAGATAATTTAGCACAGAACTGAGAGTTCTCTTTTTGATGATGCCCAGCGCTTACTCGGATGAGGCTCAGCTGTACCCGATACAGCCAGGACACTGTCCCGCAGCCCAATACAGGCGGACTTTCATACCGGTCCGCTGAGTGCTGAATGAATGGAAATGCTATATTATTATTATTTTATGATTTTCTTGAAACCGAAGGAATGATAGGATTAAAGAAAAATGATAATATTGATAATTATATTGATAGATGGTATGGGATATATTACTAAGAATTTATTCAACTAATCCATTAAATAGATATTAATAAAAATTGTGGCGAAAATAATATATATTAATTCCGAATTATAAATATATATTGTTTAATTTGTTTATTCAAAAAATGATTGGAATCTTCCGAGAATGTTTTGGGTAATGATTTCTTGAAAATTATGATGATTTGGATAAATTTAGATGTTGTTATTTGGCGTTACGAATTTATAATGATTGAAGATATGATAGATATTGGATTAATGTATGATTAGCATCCTGCAGCAGACAGATTTCCAATTTATAAATGATCGCCGCCTAGGCAATGCATAGAGGAGATGGATTGAATTGGGGTTATAACTTGTCGGCCTTGTTGCATTCAGGCACACGCCTCCTTTGTGAGATTATTATGAATCATGACCTCTCACCAATGATCCACGATTCCATGAAGATATGCACCTCGTTTGATTGGTGCCCGCCCAGATGTGCAATCGTCCCTGGAAGAGGTCTTTCCCTCTTCGAAAAATCGGTTCCCTTAAAATCCTTTTGGATTCCAAATTTCGACAACAGCCATGACGGTGCGCATTCTTCGATCTTGCACCTTTTGAGCTTCGAGCGGAACTTATTCTCCAAAACCTCTATGCTACCCAATACGGGCATCCGACGTGGATGCTGGCCGAAGAATAAAATATTGAATCTATATATAAAAAAAACAAAAATACATTTAGAAAATAGATAATTGGATAGAATTGCCGTCTTTTGATTATTATTGAGGAGACCGCATCAATATTTGTTCCGGTTCCATTGGCATGCGCAAGTCATGGATCCATTATGTTGCAGTAATTCA